GTTACACAGAGTTATCTTGATATTTATAGAGTACTAAGCCCATGCAAAATTTTATTTTAATAGACGGAAACGAATTAATTTTTTTTCGTGTTTAATAGCTGTGTATTTATTGTAATAAATTAATTTCAAATACACATTTAAAAGATTATATCATTTTTTGAATAAAGGTTTACCCTTTTTTTTTGCATATTTTTTTTAGAAAAATAGGTATATTTAATATATTTTTGGTATATAATTGGATATTTTAACTTTTTTAAATGCGTATTTTAATGAAATTTAGGTCATTAACATCCGAGCTTTAATAATCATAGAAATTACATCTCTAAATTGTAAATTCAATATTTATGTTCAGGATACATACTTAGTAACTTGACATATGATGTACTTAAGTTAACCTCTTATTTTAAAACTTTTAATGTTATAAAAATATCCTTAACTCTTGATTTATGAGGGAATAGGGTACATATAGGCGTGATTAGATGGGGCTTAGCCCCCCTAAATATTTGCCTAGCCCTCCCAAATATTATTATTATTATTTCAGTTATTATCAATGTATCACATTATATGTATAAGCAAAATGTACGTGAGATAAATTTCTAGYCCCCACCCCCAGACCCTAGTGGCGCGTATAGGAGGGTAACATTTTAAATCCTCACGTCTAATGCATATAATATATTATCATACCTATCTATAATTAGTTGTATATTTTATAAGTGGTACCAGGTAGTTTAAATAAATTAAACATATTAAATACATATTAGGTACTTAATATTTACAAATTTGATTAATTTATTCATCTTCTTTAAAACAACACTATAGTATTTTAAGGCAATATAATGTTGCAGAGTAAGAAAATTAATTTTATAAAAATCTAATACATAAAACAATCATAATAAATAAATAATAATAATAATTAATAGGTATGTTTAAATAAAATATTATTTTTTCTTAATAAAAAAAAAGTATATGTTCATAAATCACAATATGCATTTTCATTTTTTGTTATTATACATTTATAAATACATGCCATTAATTAAAAAGTCTGCGTCATAAGCGTATGACTGTTTGCTTCCTTTTCGATGACGATTACGCATCACTCTTAATCGACAACCAATCACAATTATCATTATAGTAGATGCAATAACACCTGAAAAGATTAAACAACATTCAAAGAAAAAGTATGCACAATTACCGACAGCGACGAAACTTAACTAATAATAGTWAGGTAATGTAGAAATTATATATAATATTTAATAATTTAATATTATATTTACTTATATTTATATTTATATATTATTATTACTATTATTTTATTTACTTATGATTTATGCAATTAATAATTTTTAAACTCAGGTAAGTTAGATAGATGGCTAGATATTTAATTCATAAAGTTGTTACAAGATAGCTGGGTTTAGTTTTTAAAGCTTATGATGAAATTATAAAAGGTACTAATACCTATTTTATACATTTTTTAATAATAAATGTATGCTAGTTACCAAGAACAAGTGAAATGAATGCTCCATTTGGCATTATTGCATATCCATCATCACTACTTTCAAAATACACTTCACGAACAATCGAGTCCTCTGTAAGTGGTTGTACTATTTTTCGATCCAAATGAGAATCTGAAATTGTAAAATCATATAAATGAGTTCAGAGTGTATGATAAAGCAGTATACATCAAGTTAAGTTCTATTATCAATATTTTGAAAATAATATTGAATTAACCTGTAGTTGTTGATTGAGTAGATGTTTCACTGAGGTTATGCTTTTGAATTATTACCGGTTTTTCTGTTAATAATGTTTCAGATTTTTTAACATCAAATTGAATTTGTTTTTGATAATCAGAACCCTAAAATAAACAAAGTTATATTATTTTAATTTGTCAAGGATCATAACAAAAGACAAACAATTGTAAAATCTGTGCATATTAATGTAAAAATGATAATCCTTGATGCCAATGATTTCGGGAACCACTCATGCGAGTTTTTTTTAATGATATCATTGAGAAGTCAAAATATTGTAAGTCTACGCATGTGCAATTTTTTCAGCTCGCATAAAAATGTTATCATTTATAGTTTTGCTTTTTTCCTTGTACAGCATCAATAAAAATATTATTAGTTAGCAATAATTAAGGTTTAAATTAAAATTATAATGTACCTAGGGTGATTTATTTTTATTTTTATTTTTTTAAGGGGAACCCGTGGCAACATAGCCTATTGGATGTTGGGTGGTACGGTAGGGGTTATTATATTATATTATATTTTCAGTAGGTTTTTAAGTGGGTAGGGTTGTAACACGTGTTTGTGTATGTGTGGCAAGGATATGTTGCTAAAAATCCCAGATGGTCACCCATCCGGGAGCTAGCAACTGCGGCCGGTACGTACGCTCAGTGCGTTTCCGCAGATTGAGCGTACGACCGCGCCTCACCAAGCCACCACAGGGTGATTTTTATAGTGGTCTAAGATTACATTAAGTTGAGTAATTCGATTTTTTTTTTAAATTTAACTATTTTTTATTGTCGCATAGGCTGGCTAATATAATTGTAACTTACGGTCTACAGTTGTCAGTTACTAATAAT